AGGAAGGAAGGAAGGAAGGAAGGAAGGAAGGAAGGAAGGAAGGAAGGAAGAAAGGAAAAGAAAGGAAAAGAAATTCAAAAATGGGCATCTGAAAGGAACAGGCATTTCTCAAAAACAAAGAAGTAAAAGCAGCAAATAAACATATGAAAAAAGTTCAACATCACTGGTCATTAGAGAGATGCAGATGAAAACAACACTGAGATTCCACCTCACCCCACAAAGAATGGCTGCTATAAAGAAATCAACCAATAACAAATGTTGCGGGGGTTGTGGGGAGAAAGGAACCCTTCTGCAGTGTTGGTGGGAGTGCAGACTGGTGCAACCACTATGGAAATCAATACGGAGATACCTCAAAGAGCTGGGATTAGAGGTCCCATTTGACTCAGATATTCCCCTGCTGGGTACTTTCCAAGAAGAATTAAAAGAATCATAACACAGTGACATATGCTCACCCATGTTTATAGTGGCACAGTTTGTAATAGCTAAAAATTGGAAACATCCCATTTGCCCATCAACTGGAGACTGGGTAAGAAAGATGTGGGTTTTTAAATATATACAATGGAGTACTACTCACCCAAAAAAACACGAAATTGGTGACATTTATAGCTAAGTGGATGCACATCAAGGATATACTGTTATGTAAAATGAATAGGACATGTACATATAAATACTGAATAGATTCACTGGTGTGAAAAAACTTAAAGTGTAAATAAGAATCAAAATATATAACTGATATTTTGTAACAGGAAAAAAGTCTAAAGGTGTAGGGAAAGTGGGGCAAGGTAGGGGAAAGGTAAGAAGGGAAAAGAAAAATTATAAGAGAAGAGGAAAAAAATGGAAACAAAGTCTTTGTAAATAGGGCAGGGTGGAGGGGGTGAAGGGAGGCAAGAGAAATGAGAAAAAAAAAGAACCAAGGTACATCATGTAAATATATAACATCTCAGTGATGAATGTAACTATATTGTATACTAAAATATATCAAGAAAGGAGAAAGAAAGAAGGAAGGAAGGGAAAGAAAGAAAAGAAAAGAAAGAAAGCAAGCAAGCAAGCAAGAAAGAAAGAAAGAAAGAAAGAAAGAAAGAAAGAAAGAAACTTACATGGCTAACATATCTCTTTCTTTTTTATTGAGTTTATTGGTACATTTTAGGTATACAGTACAGTTGCATTTATCATTGGGATCTTGTACCTTTACATGACAGGTCTTGGTTCTCATTTTTTCCCCTTGCCCCTTCCCTCCCTCTACCCCTCATCCCACCCTAATTTACAAAGTCTTTGTTTTCATTTTTTTCCTTTTCTCATATTTTTTTCTTTTCCCTTTTTTCCTTTACCCTACCCTTTCCACTTCTCCTACAACTTTAGCCCTTTTCTTCCTATTTCACAATGTCAGTTATACAATTTGGATCTTATTTACACTTTTAATTTTTCAATTAAGACAAAATGCTTTCCATGATTGGAAAACAATTATAAAGTGTTCAAAGGTATTTTAAATATTTTAGAAATTACCTTTATCCACATTATCTTTGCTTTGATTAAGTTTTTCCATTTTTCTGAAATGCAATTAATTTTTCAGAGCGGATTTTTTATGTAATCAGTAGGCCAGTAAATAGCCGTGTGCAGTCTTAACTTTGACCAAGAATTCAAGCAGATCTCTGCGTATCATAACCAGGTTTAACAAAAAAGAATAATACTGTCATTATTTTTTATTTAATATATACTTGGCCCAAAGTGAAAATTTTAATATATTTTTCCTTTTTCCTTTATTCATACATTTTAGGTATATCATACAGTTACATTCATCACTGGGATCTTCTACATTTATATAATGTATCTTGGTTCTTATATTTTCCCCATTCCTCTGAGCTCCCGTCACCCCCTCCACCTTTCCCTATTTACAGAAACTTTGTTTCCATTTTTTTCCTTTTCTTTTCTTTTTCCTTTTCCCTTCTTAAGTTTCCCCTACCCCTCCCACTTCCCCTACACCTTTAAACATTTTTTCCTGTTATACAATATCAATTATACATTTTTTATTCTTATTTATGCTTTTAGTTTCTCACACCAAAGAAACTATTCAGTATTTACACGAGTGTCTTATTACTTTCACTAAAGAATATGTCCTCAAGGAAAAAAATATGAGAAAATGTAAAAATGGAATTAAAGTATTTGAAGGTGGGGAGGGGAGGAGGAGGTGAAGGGAGGATGGGGACAAGGGGATAAAATGAGAACCAAGACCTGGCATGTAAAGGTACAAGATCCCAGTAATGAATGTAACTGTACTATCTACCTAGAATGTACCAATAAATTCAATTTAAAAGAAAAAAAAAAGAATATGTCCTCAATGTGCATTCACTTAGCTATAAATATCTCTAGCTTCTCCTTCTTTATGGGTGAGTAGTACTCCTCTTTATAAAACACACACACACACACACACACATCTTCTTTATCCAGTCCCCAGTTGATGGACAATTAGGCTGTTTTCAAGTTATAGCTATTACAAACTGTGCCGCTATAAACATGGGTGAACATATGTCACTGTGGTATGATTGTTTTAATTCTTTTGGGAATATATCCAGCATGGGAATAGCTGGGTCAAATGGGACTTCTCATCCTAGTTCTTTGAGATAGCTCCATATTCATTTCCACAGTGGTTACACCAGTCTACACTCCCACCAATAATGAAGGGTTCCTTTCTCCCCAAAACCCCACCAGCATTTGTTATTGGTTTGTTTCTTGATAGCAGCCATTCTTTGTGGGGTGAGGTGGAATCTCAGTGTTGCTTTCATCTGCATCTCTCAAATGACCAGTGATGTTGAACTTTTTTCATATGTTTATTTGCTGCTTTAACTTTGAGAAATGTCTGTTCAGTTGCCCATTTTTGAATTGGGTCTTTATGTTTGGGGGTCTGATTTTTTTTAGTTCTTTATATTTTCTCAATAGTAGACCTTTGTCTGCGGAGCAGCTGGTAAAAATTTTTCCTACAGTGTAGGTTGCGTCTTAGCTCTGTTGGTGGTTTCTCTTGCAGTGCAGAAGCTTTTTTAAATGATGACATCCCAATTATTGTTTCTTTGTGCTAGTTCCCATGCTACTGAAGATTTGTTTATAAAATCTCTTCCTATGCAAATGTCTTCAAGAGTTCTACCTAACTTATCTTCCAGCAAGTTTAGTGTTTCTGTTTTAATATTTAGATCTTTAATCCACTTGGATTTTAGTTTAGTGCATGGTGAAAGATAGGGATCTAGTTTTAATCTTTGACAAGTTGAAATTCAGTTTTTCCAAAACCATTTATTGAAGAGGCTATCTTTCCTCCACTGAGGATGGTTGACTCATTTGTCAAAGATGAGGTAGCTGAGTATGTCAGGAATTGTTTCTGCATCTTCTAATCTTTTCTACTTACCCTCAGGTCTGTTTCTTTGCCAGTACCATGCTCTTTTTATCACAGTGGCTTTGTACTATAGTTTCAAGCTGGTAAATGTGAGATCTCCTGCCATGACTGTGTGTCTACAATTGCTTTTGCTATTCTAGGTCTCTTCTAGTTCAAAATGAATTTTTGTATTGTTTTCTCCAGCTCTGTGAAATATACTGTTGGGATTTCAATCAGGATTGTTTTGCATCTGTATAGCAGTTTTGGAAGTATGGCCCTTTTCGCTATCCTGGTTCTTTCTACCCATGAACAAGGGATGTCTTTCCATTTCCTTATATCCTCTTCAGTTTCTTTTTCAAACTCTTATAGTTCTCTATGTAGAAGTTTTTTTTTTCCTTTGTTTGATTGATTCGTAGATATTTCATTTTTTTTGGATGCTATTGTGAAAGGGATTATTTTGGTGGTGACTTTTAAATATCAAATAATCTTCAACATCCATGGAACTAGTTTTGCCTGATCTATAATTTTAACACTAATATCAAATACTGAATTATATGTATATACCTGAAAAAATGTCTGATAATGTTTGCATCAAATTAAGTTAGACGACACAACTAAGAGCCATCTTGTGTTGAAGTTTAGTCAGAACATTTAACTGGGAACTCAAACAAGAATAAGACCAGAAAACTGAATTAATTAGAAAAATTCATGTCATGTTTGATTCCATATATTAGGAAAACTAGGGGGAAAATTATTTTAAAATCTTTGTACATGCTATTTAAAGTTTTTTCAAATAATATAATATCGAATCAATCTTAAGGAACAATATGTATAGAGTCAATAAAATATTATTATGAAATAAATATGTTGTTTATTCACTTTGCTTTTATGTAGAACAAAAACGTTAAAATGACATAGTTTTAAATACCCTTCTGCATTGACTCTGGATTGTAGGACTTTATTAAAATTTATTTTTCTGAGAGGACCTTTGTTTGATCCCTGGTACCAAAAAAAATTATTTTCATCTTTTAATTTTCCATTCTCAAAATAGGTTTAAAATCCTGTGTTTAAATAGAATTACACATATATTAAATGTGAAGTAAAATCTGTCAAGAAGCAGCATAAGTTTGGGTATAAATTCAACACTTACTTGTTGCTTTTCAATTCAGTCTTCACTGCTAATTTATCATTAGTGAAGCAGCATCCAACTCATAATAGTAAATTTGTGTTAATCAGTAACTTGCTGAAGAAATTTTTTATTTTGAGTTTTGCCAAGGCATTGGTCATATGTAGCTGGTCGTTGGACCTAGTTAAAGATTGTCATATATATTTCAGAGTAATGTGAATTAATAGCTAATATACATTCTTCTTAGATGGGAGACTAAAGACCTGGGTTTATGGTGTTGCAGCTGGGGCATTCGTATTACTCATCTTTATTGTCTCCATGATTTATCTGGCTTGGTGAGTGTTTAAATATTTGAAAATCTAAGGGAAAATATAATGTCTGTATTTCAGAGAAAATATTTTCAGTTGCCTGAAACATAGAAACAACAAACTAATATGAGAAATAAGTAGACTAAATTTATTCAATATTCACATGAAGTTCTAAATAAATAAGGCTTTAGTATTAGATAGCTAAAAACTACTAAATCTGAGTTGTTTTCTTTCTAGAGATGAGCCAAATTAATCCAGGTCATCTTTCCAAGTTTATTCTCTTGCACTTATGACAAAGAATGTTGTTTTGTATGGACTGTGATAAACTACATTTTTATAGTGAATTAGAGAAGGGTACTATAATAATATATAATCATATTCGGCTATGTAAGCATGTATTGATTAGAAATTCTGTGTAATTTATCAAGGTTTCTAGCCAAATACAAATTAACATACTGTAATCTCATTTTTGTTGTTAGTACTAGGGGAATTTCATGTGCATAAACTGTCTTTTAATAAGATAGTAAAATACTTGAAGTTTATTTAACTTTTTGAGAGCCAAAACTGTGAAATTCAAAGAGAAAAATTCTAAGGTTAAATTCAGGCGATGTGAGCACTTTAGACGTATCACTAGGTTTTGCACATTTTTACCTTTTCATTTAAAAATAATAAAATTCAGAACTAAGGACTGATTTTTTTTCTCTCTCAATTTTAATGAATTTCTTACAGCAAAAAGCCAAAGAAACCCCAAAGAAGGCAAAACAACCGACTGAAACCTTTAACTTTAGCTTATGATGGAGATGCAGACATGTAAAATAGAATTTTACCTGACTACGACAAATTTTGGCTTTCTGACTCTGTAGTTGATAACCAGGGGCCATGATGACAATATACAAACTGTGGATTATAATTCATTTTAACTTTTTAAAATAGCATCATGAAGAAAAGAATGAAAATCACATTGCCACTGGAAATCTTCAAGACAGTACCACTTACTCATAGACCATTAACTCTAATAATTCTAGGAGATTTAGTTGAACACATGCTACATTTTGGGAGTTTTATGTCATTTTTCTTGAAATCTTCCAATTGAGAAACCACTTTCATCTCCAAAAAATAGTGATGAAATTTGCCAGAGGGGTTGTCTGATGCAAGACTCTTTGCAGTGTTTAACCCACAGAACTTTCTAGCATGAAGAGTTTATACCAAGATCCCTACAGTGCTATAGTCAAACATAACAACATGTATACTCAGCTGAATGATATTCATTATAATTTCATATTATGTACTCGATAATAAGCAACTCTAACAGTGAAGAGGTTGGCTCCAAGCTGAGCAGAAACCCCATGGAATAAAGTCAGCATCTTTGTGGTTCTGCGTAGCGTGTATTTATTTGCATTTCAGAGACAAAGACTCTTTTATAAGACTTCATTCTTGTCTTTCCAGAATGTACAAATGCTCAACATGTACTAGAATCTTAGAAGAAAGAGTCCTCGATTTCAGTATTTTATAGTAGCTATTTTATAGTAGCTATTGTCTGATTGCTTGTGTTAATACATTTCTACTTTCCCTAATAATTTTCAAACTGGTTGCCTGCATCTTTTTTGCTATATGGAAGGCACATTTTTGCACTATATTAGTGCAGCATGCTGGGCACTTAACCAGTATTGCCGTAGAAACTGCCTCTTTTCGTATGGTATGAAGACATCTGTGCCAAGAGGGTCCTGGAGACATTTGCAATTTCTTGTACCCTGAAGAGTGAAGTTCAGTTTGAATGGCGACAGGATGGAATCAGCCAGGACGCCTGCTGTGTGAACTCTTGCTCCTTACCACAGCCTGTGAAACTGGCAACATGGCTGTAACCTACGTGGGGAGGTCCCCACGAACCCTCAAAAGGTGGATCCCTCTAGTTGGTTTGTAATTGTTCTTTGAAAGCTGTTTATGACTAGATTTTTATATTTGTTATCTTTGTTAAAAAAAGAAAAGAAAAGAAAAAAAGGAAACGGTTGTCTCTTTAATTTCAAGCAGATGGAAAAATAGCATATCAGTGATTTTGTAACTAAAGGAAGTCAAAAGTATGTGTTGGTTCTTTCTCCCTGATTCATGCCTCAGTTTCAGATGCAGTCTGTTCTGCAGGCAAAATCCCATAGCCTTTTGTTTTTCTCGCTGGTTAAATTTGCAGCAGTCTTTTAAATATATGATTTCAAAAAACCAAAATTCGTGAAAGGAAGAGTGAGTGTCTTGTCTGGGACTTTATTAACTATCTACAGCAAGGGTGGTCCACATTTTTTCCTTTAGAATCGAATAGTAAATATTTCCAGCTTGGTCTGCGTTGCAGTCTCTCATCTCTGTCAAGCATAAAAGCTGGCATAGGTGATGCACAGTTAGAAAAAGAATGAACATGACTGTTTTCCGTCAAATTTTATTTACAAAAGGCAGCCAGTAGGCTATATTTCCATGCTCCAGTTTGCTTACCCTCACTCTAGATGTTCCTTAATACTAATCTCTATTGTGTCACTTTGGTTTTCATTCACTTACCATTTGTCTGTCACCGGAGCTTAATTTCAAAGTGTAAATCCAGTTGTTACATTTACCATGGCCTTGAAAGTCACTATATTTTTCACAGAAGTCCTGAGAGATGGTGACAGTGAAGCAACAGAAATAATAACTAACTTAGTGGACTTCTTTCTTGTGAAAAGAAAGTGAAAGATCATTAAAAAGCAATGTCATTTTTCAGACAACACTTATTACAACAATCTTTGGGAGGAAAGAACACGGGTTTTTCATGTCTTTTAAAAGTAGGAACAAGTTATTTTTATCTTAAATTTAGCTGTGTTGCTGTGAAAGTGGTTTGGCTTGTTTTACCTTCATAGAGTACACAGTGGATTTTGAACTCCCCCTGCTGTCAGAATATTTGCAAAGACTACAACACACCACTTAGGATGTCAGTGGCCCGAAATTAAAAATACTTCTACCTATTTCAATAAGAAATAGATATGGTGAGCAGTTGTGTTTTATCTAATATTCAATATATGGGACAATGAAAATCATTTCAAAGAGAACAGATAGTCAGAAAGATGAGAATTTTACTTTAAGCCGAGAAATCAATCAAGGAAAAATATAAAAACAAAATCCATCTCATCTCTTTTATTAAAGAGAAAGAAAAATTACTGTTACTCTCAACTTGATTGTCAATATGTATACTCAGGGGCCTTCAAGAAAACACTCAAGTTAATCTCTTTGAATAAAATAAACTTCATCTGCTCAGAATGGCTGAGAATCTGTTGCAGTTACTTAAAAAATTATGTCTTATGAAATGTGTACAACACCCCTAATAATTTGAAATGTACAATGGAGTAAAATATTATACCAAGTAAAGCTATACTTACGATCTTAAAAGTGCTTTTGATTCAAAAGATAAATCGCTTTTATCTGACTTGTGTTATAAGAATTAAATGAACTTAAAGATCAAAAACTATAAAATGTTATGAAAATATAAGATGCTTGTATCTATAAATTAGTTACATTTTGTAGCACTGTATTCATATGGAGAGATTATATGCAATGCAACTTAACCCTAGGAACCTATTGGAGGCTCATTTTGGGGATAAATCAGTATTTGATGTTGTCATGTTACAAACATGGGAAGGAGTCAGAGTAGCTGTTTGGCTAACATGGATGAATGGGAGGTTATTATATTCATATTTATAACATGAGAATGGCCTTATTTTTGTTCCTGGCAAGAGACCATCATGCGTTAAGTACTTTACTGGAATTTCATCAAAACTTTACTCTTCTTGTTCATTCTACAAATTCAGTACAGGAACATAGTAGTTACTTGACTATTTACATTTTGCCTTACCAAAATGGTCTGGGAGCACAAAAGGATTTAGAAATACTATTCTGTAAATATGAAGGTCTGCTGAGTTTAAAAAAGAAAAAAAAACATTGACATAGTGTTACATGGTTTTGTTGGACCGTTCAGTTGGAACCACATAGAAGTGGCATAATTGATCCCTCATGAAAGGGGCCGATTTGCTTATCCATCGATACCTAATCCAATACATTCTTTTTTAACACCTTTTTGAGGACACTACAGTGTAAAAGAAAAGGAGTGCATAAAAGCATGCCTTTACTTATAATGAAGCACAAATGACTTATAATAAAATATGTATTTATTGAATCATCATCACATGTAAGCCACTCTGCTAGGCACTATAAAAATTAGTAATAGCTTTGTATAAATAGATGCTTAAGACATTCAAAAGAAAGAAAAGACTTAAGGAGTGATAGTAGCTCTTAAACTCATTGCTTTTTACTCTAGACTTATTTATAAACGTGGTTAGCATTTTTCTGTATGGAACACGAATGTCTTAGCCCATGCTGGGAAGAGTTTAGTATTTTCCCTACTCCTCCTTTAGGTAAATGGGACTAGTTATTGTGATTTAATCGAAACTCCGTTAAGTTGCTGGACATTTCCAGAGAAAGTCACTTCTTACTTCTTACAGGGAGCAAGTAGCACCCTCACAATTCATTTACCTCCTCCAAGTAATTTTACTGATGATATTCTAATGCTGATTCTCTCTGCCTGGTTTCTCTCCACCCTATTGTCTTAGCAATGGCTACCCTTGTCTACTTCCCTCAGAATTACCTTTAACTAAAAGTGCTTAAATCTATATAAGAAAAATAATGATGTAAAGGTACAAGATCCCAGTAATGAATGTAACTGTACTGTCTTCCTAGAATGTACCAGTAAATTTAATTTAATTTAATTTTAAAAAGAAAGAAAAATAATGGAGAATATTTACATTGCCTTCCTATTGGACTCGTGTCAGTATATGAACACCCTGATTTAAACAGAATGCATTGGTCAAAGAAATAATTAAAGGCAAAAGGAAAGATGTGGAAGGCACTCCAAAACAAATGAGCACAGATCTTTTTCTTTTAAAATATCATTTCCTACACTAAATTTATTACATTACAATTATTAAATTATTATCTTTGTATTCCTTATACATCCATCTTGTATCTCTGTTTACTTCCCATTTTGCAAGATGGTGAAGGAGGAGGCCTGTGTCTTTCAATACTGTACAGAAAGGAAAGCCCTTTCCTAAGTGGAATGGGATCTTCACAGATTTGCATGAATTGTGCGTACCAAATGATCTGGGATATCTCTATAAAAGTATTGCCAAATTCAAATGTGTTTCTTGTCCTATTTCCTCTCTAAGGTTGAGGGTATTAAAAGGACAAATGTTTAAGAAATTTGTAAAGCGTCTTTCAGAGCATGATCTTCCTAGGTCTAGTTGAGATGTGAGAATTACATCTGCCTGTTTTGCTAACAGTAGTCCCAGCAATGCTGCTTTCAGACAGCCCTGGCTGCAGTCAAGACCACAGCATTTGGAACATGAGTGTGGGCCTCCCAAGTGATATTTCCTTTAGGAAAAGACTATTTTTGCAGTGTGGTATAATAAATCTACACCTACAGGTACACTGAAAAATTATTATGTCTACATTATTAAATGAATTAAACAAATGCTGAATGAACAGAGTTAATTTTTCAGGGTTTTGGTTTTTGTTTTTGTTTGTCTTTTGTGCTTCTATCAAACCAGACCATAAGCCAGGCAGTGTATGAAGAGTTGTAGTTCATGACAGTTATGTTTCCGGTGATCAAAAGTCTTTATCCTCTTTAGAACATAAATAAGTTTTTTATTGTCAATTTTGCCAATTTTGTGTTCTGTAGGATTTTTTCCTTTTTGTTAGTAAGCATTTCTAGATTGCCTACGCTTAAGCATTTATTGATCTATAGCTTTTTTCTAGCCACTTTTCAGGGATCTATTTGTGTTCATTTTTAGAAAGTAATCATTTAGATTCCCTTTCTGATACTCTTTCCTGCTTGTTTTTATCAGCAATTTGAAGAGGTCATTGTTTGTCATTGTAAAATATAAATTTATTAAATTTTCAATCTATCTTTCTGTGAATCCTAATCTCCTAAATTTGTGTTCTTTGTTAATTTAATTACCGGAATATTTATTTTTGTTTAAATAAGAGGGCAGCTGTCTATGAATTTTTTGTTAATATTACTTTGTAAATTGTGTAATGTAATTTATTTTCAATTATGTATATTTCTTTTTAACACACAAAATGTCTATGTACAATTAAGTACAGATTTTCATATAACATCACTAAGCTTTATTCAGTTCATACAGGTGGCATGTGACGATATAATATGCTTTTTTACATTTACATATGGATTATTTGTAAATAACTATATTGCTGGCAAACATAAACATGGAAGTCATTTTCATTCTAATCATGTGTGTCTGTGTTTTAATTTTCATCATTTACTCCTTAAATGAGTGTTTCATTTTTTTTTTCAGTGAATATCCAAATCCATTTGACACTATATTGCCTTTTTCTGGGAGATTTATTTTAAGTCCAATTTCAAAAGTTTCAGAAATTCAAACTTTACTTTCAGAATCAGCCAGCAGGTTAATCCCTATGGTCACAGGAGCTCTGAGTTCCTGGTGTATTAAAGGAGGGCACAGCAGAGAGTGGCCCACATTACAGACACAAAGCAACTCTCTGGGCCCCAGCAGTCATCAGGCTGTGTCAGTGAACAAAGGCCTAACCTGAAAATCAGGGCAGAAGCTCACATATTAACAAATTCACAAATTAGGAAAGCACAAATTAGGCAAGAGGTTCATAATTAACACATTTTCTGAAGTACAGCCATACCTTGCTGCCTGATTGCTTTGAAACCCATCTTGTTTAGTACTTGATGTTTTTTGATGCTAAAATTTTGTGCCATTACTCCTCCTTTGTTTGGCCCTCTTGTCATATGAGCTACACTTTGTCCTTGTGGATTGTCTCATGACACTACTCTTTCTAGCACACTGTATTTGGCATTTATTGTCATTTGTACTTATCCTGCCTCCCTGGACCAATTACAAGTACCAAAGTACCAATCAGCTGTTTGCTAGAATACAACTAAGCAGAGAACCCTTTAATCTCTTAGCATATGAACTACACAAAACATTTTATAGAGCTAGCCTCCAACTTTTGAGGAAAGATAATGATTCCCAGGCTGCTTGTTTTACCTATTGCTCATGACAACTGAATCTAGATAAAGGTGTTTTTAAATATCACCCACATATTTCTTTCAATGTATCTAAACATTCATCTTCAAATAGCTAATTTCCCCGCTTAATTTGTGACTCTCATGTATGTCCTACAATCGCTGCATACTACATTTGTTTCTTCTGTGCCTTTAATGATTCATTTCATTAAAATCCTCATATATTTCAAAGAACGAACAATGTACACATAATTGGATTTACATTACCTGTCAGAGTCAATTACTCTGAAACAATATTATATGCATACAAAATGCATAAATGCAGTCAGATTTTCTGATATTACAGTTATTTTCTTTTTTTCAGCTGATTTCCTATCTCCTTTTCCACCTTCCTCCATAGCATCTCTGCCAAAGTAGTTAACAATCAGATATGGATGTTTTATTAATTTTCTCCTTGATTGTATGATCTCATAAACATGCTGGGGGTAGGGAGCAAGGAGAGAAGTGGGTTGAATTTGATATATGCAACAAGTAGAGGCTTATTTTTCTCTCCTATTGTTTTCAAGTACTACAAAAGTCCTCTCGTTGGCAACACCAAGGCAAATCCCAGACTTTTTGTAACCATTCGAGTTATGGAAAAGTCTCAATCCAGCTTAAACCAAACATCAACCCCTCTCATTGTTTTCATTTCCTTAACTATTAGAAAATGTGAACAAATTTTCTTCTTTCCACATACCTGTGTATTGGTTATTTCCACTGTCTTCATCTATGTACAACTTTTAAGTGGTAATTCCGTTGATACCAAGGTGGTCACTAATTTTAGGTCATCAAATAAATTTTAACTTTTA